TAAGGGTCGAGGCAGAGGAGACAAAGACCCAAAGAGTTGAAGACACTGCCAAGTTGGAGTCTGCCTTGGCCCAAATAGAGGCCTTGAAGAAGAAGGCATATGAGTCTTAGTGTGAGGTGGCCTCCCTCACTAAGAAGGTGGAGACATCAAATAATCATCAGAAGGTCACTGCTGAGGCCCTTCGTGAAGTAATCAATGGCCACAATAACAAAGTTCGTGCCTCCTCCGCCTATAGATAGGGGACCTATCAGGTCCATGCCCCACTTGGAGAATGTCCATAGGCTGGATACGACAGTTATCTCCTGTGCGGGTTGCTTCCGAATGGGAGAGAACCGTTGACACTTATTATACTTGCGCACGAATTGAAGCACATCCTTTTTCAAGGTGGACCAGTAGTACCCTTGCCTCAGTACCTTTTGTACAAAGGCTAGTCCTCCTAAGTGATTGCCACAAATGCCTTCGTGGATCTCCCTTAGAATGTAGGTGGCCTTATCTCTCCCAACACAGCGAAGAAGTGGGGAGGAGAAACTTCTTTTATAAAGTACATCATCAGTGAAGAGGAAATGAGTTGACCTCCTCCTCAGTTTGTAAGCCTCATCTTTGTTAGTGGGCAGGATTTGGTCCTTTAGGTAGGCAATGATAGGTTGCATCCAGGTGGGGGTTCCTTCGATCTACATCACTTCAGGGGCCTCAGTAGACGACGTGAGGAGGTGCTCAATTGGTACTATTGCAAGTAGTTCAGAGTCTTTGCTGCTCGTGAGTTTAGAGAGTGCATTGCATGCGCGTTTTCGAGGCAAGGGATCTGTATTATTTTGAATTTTTCAAAAGATGGGAGGAGGTCCGTCACCATCTTCAAGTAGGAGACCATGGTTTTATCCCTAACTGAAAAACTTCCATTCACTTAGCTTACCACCAGCTGGGAGTTACTGTTGATACGTAGCCTCCTTACTTGCATTTCTTTGGCTAATCCGAGGCCTACGAGGAGCGCCTCATACTCATCAGTGTTGTTGGTGGCCTTAAATTTGAACCTCACAGTTGAGTTCAACTTGTGACCTTCTGGGCTGATAAGGACTACCCTAACTCCCAAATTTGTGTCTCCAGCCAAACCATCCACGAACAAGTTCCACGTGGGGGGCTCAATAGGTTTCATAACCTCTTCCACGTCGGGTACATTGGCGACCTCTGCCACAAAATTAGCTAAAGCTTGGCCCTTGTGGTTGCCCTTGTCTTAAAGACAATTTCGAATTCACTTAACTCCATTGCCCATTTCAGTAGTCTTCATGAGGCATCCAGCTTCTGTAGCACTTGCCTCAAAGGAAGTTGGTCAGCATGTGAATGATGTGTACCTGGAAGTAGGGCCTTAGCTTCCTAGAAGCTGTGATCAAGGCTAAGGCTAGGTTCTCCATATCGAGATAGCGAGTTTCTGGGAATAGGAGTGCCTTGCTAGTATAGTACACGAGGAGTTGGGTGGTTCCTTCCTCTCGGGTTAGGACTGCGCTGATGGCCTCATTGGAGACGGCCAAGTATAGCAAAGGATATCATCGGACTTTGGTTTGGAGATAAGGGGCCTGCCCTAGATGCCTTTTCAGGCCCCGAAAGGCCTCTTCATACTCCTCATTCCATTTGAACTTCTTCCCGAATATTTTGAAGAATGGGATGCATTTATCGGTAGCCTTGGAGACAAAGCGGCTGAGGGCTGCCACTCGTCCCGTTAGGCTTTGGACTTCCTTGGGTTTTGGGGTGATCTCATCTCGAGCAAGGTATTGATCTTTTCGGGATTGGCTTCGATCCCTCTTTGGTTAACCATATATCCCAGGAATTTGGTGGAGGCAATGCCAAAAGCGCACTTGAGGGGGTTAAGTTTCATCTTGTACCTTCTGAGGGTTCGAAAAGTGTCATACAGTTGCATCACATGGTCGTCCGTCTTCAGGCATTTCACAAGCATATCGTCTACGTTGACTTCCATTGTCTTGCCAATGAGGTCCACAAATATTTTGTTGACAAGTCTTTGATAGATGACCCCAACATTTTTCAACCCAAAGGGCATCATCTTGTAGCAGTAAAGGCCTCTGTCAGTGATAAATGAGGCGTTCTCCTCATTGACCGGGTACATGAGTATTTAGTTATAGCCAGAGTAGGCGTCCATGAAACTCAGGAGCTCATGCCCGGCGGTGGAGTCTACCAATTGATCAATTCTCAAAAGCGGGAAGCTGTCTTTGGGCATGCCTTGTTTAGATTCGTAAAGTCGATACATACCCTCCACTTGCCGTTGTACTTCTCGACTAGCATCAGGTTGGAGACCCACTTCGGGTAGATGGCCTCTCTGATGAAGCCATTCTTGATTAGCTTCTGCACTTCTTCCTTCAAAACCTCGTATCTTTCTGGGTTGAGGGCTCTGCTCTTCTGTCGGTGCGGGACAGCCTTAGGATCTATCTTTAGATGGTGACGACTGACCTTGGGGTCTATGCCCACCACGTTCTCATGCCTCCAAGTAAAGACGTCAAGATTCTTGCAGAGAAAGTTTTTCAATTTTTCTTTAATGTCATTGCCTAGATCTATGCCTACTTTAAACACCTTCGTGGGGTCGCGGGGGTCGACCGGGAAGCTTTCTAGTTCCTCGACCGAAGTTGTTTGGGGTTTATGTTCAATCACATGGGGATCGATCTCATCGATCAGGGAGAGTTCTTGCTCGGGATGTGCGTTGATCAAGTCAACATCCTTTCATTCGAGAAGGGCCTTGCTTGAGACGTCTGTCATATCCACATCAATCAGGATGACATGTACGTTTCGGGGTTCAACCTTTCTGATGGAGCTCAGGTAGCATTCTCTGGACCCTCTTTGGTCACCTCTCACTGTTATCACCCCGTTCTTAGTCACGAGTTTCATGTTTAAGTGGTGGTTGGAGGTGACGGCTCCTAACTCCTTCAGGGCTGGTCTACCCAAGACTCCGTGGTAAGCTGATCGACTGTCTACAATAAGAAATTTCATGAAGTTCATTGTGGTTTGGGGGGACTCTTCCATCTCTACTGCCAATGTTATTTTTCCTCTCGAAGTGATACTATCTCCGGTAAATCTGTACAGAGGAGTGGTGGTGGGCGTCAGCTCGTGGTCTAGGATCATCTTGTTAAAGGTGGACCCGAACAGGATGTTAACAGAGCTGCCATTGTCTACTAGCATTCGGTTAAGCCCATTTCGGGCCACAACGACCCTTACCACAAGTGCATCACAATGGATGGTACTTGGTAAGGATGATAATTTGAACCGTTAAAATCGAAAATCTCGGTTAACTGGACTGAATGGGGTGAAAAAATCGAACCGATGATGCAATGGGGCATATATGGTATTTGATTTTAATGAACCGGTTCGTGACAGTGTGGGTATGGTACTTATGCCGTCGAACCAAAATCGAACCGATTACCCGCTTAAAAAAAATCATTCTTTTATTAGGGATGACAAAGTTTAGTGAGGAGGAAGTTGACGAAGAGGTACATTTTTTTTATTTAAATCTTAGTTAAAATCATTCTGGATTAGGTAGTATCGTTGTATTCTCTACTTACACTTCTTATTTACTATATAGGAATCAATTTTGAGTGCTAATCTATGCTAGTAAGAGTTATGGGGAAGAATGAAGATTGAATATGAGTTAAGGTTGAAGCTTTTGAATTATTGAGTATGAATCAAGTAACTACAATGCACAAGAATCAAGAATGAAGGAAAAGTTTAGTATTGTTATATTCATAATATTATTTGTTGCAATTGAAATTTGGGATAATGTTTGTATTTTCGTTTGGAATATTGTGTTTTTGTTTTCATTGACTCTCTTTTCATAAATTGTTTTATATCAATTTGACGGAAGAACCTATAAAAATAATTTATTTTCGTGGTTATTAATCGAATCGAACCGAGATACGAACCGAATCGAATTGAACCGATTTACGTGGTTATGGTATGATAAAAAATTTGACAGTTCGGTGATGATTTTGACCGAATCGAACCAAAACCGAACCGTTGTCATCCTTAGTACTTGGTTTTTTCGGGAATTGCTGTCCACGATATAATTGGTTAGTGGAAGGCATTTTGCCTCTCGAGCATAGTTCCGTTTTGCGTTTCGAGTCTCACCTCTCAGGTAGGGGCCTCCAAATATGGTATCTATCTTGTGAATAGGGGCCTCTTCTTGTGCATGGCGATTTTCACGATGCCTGTGTCCTTCCCTGGGTCTCCCTACATCATGTTTCCTTCGGCAGGGGATACATCTCACTGACGAGGCAAGGCCTCCTCACGCCTAGGTCGTCGATCGTTCTTAGGCGGGGGCCTGTTTGCCTATGGCGACTCATTTATCCTGTCTTGAGGGTGTTCCTGCTAGTTGCGGTATGCATACTTCTAACACTCAGATGTGTCATGACCATATGAGTAGTGGTATGTACAATAATCAGGGGGTTTTGATTAGGCCTATTCTTAGGCCCCGAACAATGCCCCTAGCCTCTTCCTCTTCGAGAGGCCCGTTGTGAAGTTCCTGCTTGCAGGTCGGTGATAGTTGGGTTGACATCTTCATATGCCAAAGTTGGGACTGCGTTCAAAGTGGTTGTGGCAAGTGGTTGCCCTAAATTTTCATTACCGGGCGGGTTTATCTAGTAGTCCATCAAGTGAGCCCTGGCGCACTATCTCTGTTGAGGTGGGAGGCCTCTGCTGGCCCGATTCCTGTGTTCAATTAACTCCTCATTGATAATCTCCCGTCTCATCATTTCCAACAGGGCGCCATAAGTGGTGGGATTTTGATTTTGCACATCCCTCCAAAACAGGGTGTTCATATTTAGACCTCCTCTTAGGGTTGATAAAGCCTCACGATTGGTGACTTGTACGTAGTACGTCAATTCGTCAGTAAAGCGTGATAAAAAGCTTTTTAGGGATTTCCCATGCGCCTGCCTCATGTCTTAAAGGCACTAGATAGAGGCTTCCCCCTCTTTGCTCACTGCAAACCTTTTCAGAAAAGTGTTCTTGAACTATGGCCAATTCTTTATGCTCCCAGGTGGCAGTCGACTATACCAGATTTCAACCGCTCCACTAAGTGTTAAATGAAAAGCTCTACATTTCACAGTTGGGTTGGCACCTTGAAGGCTCATATGAGTTTTATAAGCGCTCAGGTATTTCTCCTGGTCGCTTCTCCCATCATACTTTGGTATTTTAGGCATCACATAGTGGTTCGAAACCTGGGCATTTTTCAGTTCCCTTGAAAATGAGAGATTTTCATCGTCGTTGTCCAAGTCACAAGACCTCTGCTGCTCATCTGAGTCATTGTTCTCTTCAGCCTCATACCTGGGTGGTTGATGAGAGGGTCTAGCTTGAGTCCTAGCCTCATCTTCCTTCCTTTGGTGCCTATTTCTAGGCTGAACAGCGTGGGGGACATTTTTATGCCTTTCCTTCGGCTGATGAGTCATTGGAGGTAGGGGCTGTGGTCTATTCCGGGGTTCTCGTTGCTGTTGCTGTTGCTGTTGCCTGTGCCTCGATTTCGCGGGGCTAATTATGTCAAAGACGCTGTTAGACCTCTTAGGTCATAGTTCTGCCTCATATGCTGGTGGAAAGTTGTCCTGGTTATACCCGGCCTTGGTGGGTCGGCTTGCAGCACAATTGGAGGAAATATCAACTTCTACTTACCTCTCCATGGCCCTTCTGCCTCGACTGTATTCTAGTGATACAACCCTTTGGCTCTGGACTTTCTCATCTTGTTGGTAATGTCCTTAGGGTGCATAGGGGGGAATAGGGAAACCTCGCTGGCTCTGCATTTGGGCCATGAGTTCTCTCATGGCCATGTTTTGGCTGACAATGTCCCTCATGTTTGCGGCCATGGTGGCCATCTCTCTCGACAACTGAGTGATCATCTGCATGCCACCTCTTCTGTGGTGGTGGTGAGGTCGATGCCGAGCTGCAGGGGGCAGCTGCTGGTGGGGGCATTCCCACATTTTCTCTTACCCTTCTAGGGGGTATATCCTCGTTTGAACTCATTCTCTTTTGTTCCAATTTTAAATTATTGCTAGGTTATGGGGCTTCCACTTGTTCTTTTCCAAGAACAAATCATTTTTTAAGGAGGATGCCAAAATATTCTTTTCGATAAGCTTTCTTCACACGGTTGCTCGTGTCCCATAGACGGCGCCAATCTGTTGACCCCAGAATACGTTGCCAAAAGATATCGGACCCACCCGCGCACACGTAGGTCTGGTCCAACACGCTAAGACACGTGGACGGTCTAAAAATAATAGCAAAAGTGGGTGTGGGAGCGACTCAAAGGTGCGGGATGAGAACGTTCGAAATCCGACGAGATGTTTGCATAACGATTGTACAATAATTACCTAGATCTTTGTAGAATGCGAGTATGAATTCATGTATGTTGCAGAAGAGTAAAATGTAAAGAATTTTGAATTTGTTTTTTGTGTTAAATCTTGCATTACCTTGTGAGAGGTGTATGGGGGAGTATTTATAGTATTACAAGTTAGATCGTGGCACTTGGTTGGGAGTACACTTGGCCTTATCTCGTAAGCTTACATGTCAAATTATAGACTTCACACTTGACTTCCTAGCCTGTTACACATTTATTGATGGCGACGGACAAGACGAGACACTTGCACTCTATGATGGGTGTCCCATTAATCAATCAGGAAGGATTCTTGTGTAAGATCGGATCTCTGATGAAAAGTGCTATTTAGAGCCTTAGGACCTCGGAGAAGATTAGGTATCGGAGGGAAGGGCCTCGGCTATAAGATCACCTAGGCATATTAACTTTGGCGTCAGCACTTGGGTCACGTCTGACGTTGTTATAGTATGCTGGTCGACTCCTCTTGGCCTGGATGCCTCGGAAAAGATGCCACGTGATTCTACTGAAGTGGGCCATGAGCCCCAGTGGGTTGGCCAAATGTGTCAACATGTAACAATTTTCACAATCAACTTCAATCTAAATCTTCTCATGCCCGAGCTCTATACATGTTTTGAGGCCTCCCATCAATGCCCTGAGTTTAGTCAATCCAAAAATGAGTTCGATCTATCCCCTTTCTTCTTTGAATCTTGATCCTTCAATATTAATTCATTATTATTGGTCCACAAGATTCCTCAATCATTCAAAATCGATCCGATGCAGCTTTCAGCAATTAAGTTCTCCAAAACTTGTGAGTCACTTCCAATTAATCAACTTGCAACCCGCTTGATAATCAATTTCGTCAAGTAAACTCCAATTTGGCTCCAATTTCATCTTCGTCTTTTTTCATGTCAATTGCATTCCAAATACATCTAAGTTGAGGATTTACCTACAATTAACATATTTATACTTAAGTTCGATAGATATTCGCTCAATTAATCATAAATGAGTGCATAATATGCACTTATCATAAAGCCTTCTGTTAATGCCCTTAGTTCAGCCAATAAACTTATTCCAAACCCGTAGAGCTTGTAAAATGCAAAAAAGACGTTGCTCATGTGATCTTAATATGTCACTTCATGTGGAGGTTTCTTATAGGGTAACTAACTATTAGGCCCAGATATGATTTATTTTGTGGATCGAACTATTCAACGATTCAATAAAGTTGTAGAATATTAAAGAAATCACAACACAAGATACGTTTCGCCCTAAAAGGGCCCGGATGTTCAACTTTGCGACCTAATCACTTATTGAGCATCTAGCTCTGAATCCACTAACATTGACTAAAAAATCGTTATAGAATGTACGAGGAAACCATGAGTTTTTTCAAGTTCTTTCTTGCCTCTTTACAACACGTAATCGCAACACTCAGGCTCAAACGACTATACTAAACAATTAATCTTACAAGAAAAAGAGATTGAAATCTTCACAGACTGATTACACACTTTCAAAAGAGAAAACCCTAACTATCACTTAGAGAAATGGAGAGAGACGAAGAAACTCTATCAAACTATCTCAGCGAGAAAGGGGTCAAAACCAAGTTAAATATCTGGTCAAATCAAAAGTCACGATCCAAGGATTAGAAATCAACCACGCGTATGACTGATCCTCAACCCTCGAAGAGGCAAAGTTGTTCAACCCAAAAACACGAGTCTTTTACTTTTGGTATTAACCCGAATTTAAACCAGCCCAATTCTGCAAC